ACTTAGTTTTTTTATTTTAACTATAACAAGTTGTTACAGAGTTTCTGTTCTGCTGTGATAGGCAGCAACTGCATCAAAGTTATCTTGCTGTGGAATGCTTGTTGCAGAGGGACTAAGGTCTTCTGAGTGCAACAGCAAGCAAAAAGTGAAGGAGATGAAAGCAGTACTTGTAGAAGGGAGACACATCGCCGCTTTTTTATAAGCAGAACATCGCTTTTGCCAAAACTCTCAAGTTTCATGGCCACTATAGCCAGACAATGACCTTGCCCCTTTTAACCAACCTAGTTTGGGTAGTCCATGTCCGTAACTGTCAGTTACGCCTCCGGAGCCTTCCACCTTTCTCTCCTGCAGGGTGTCTCTTTCTCTTAAAGATGCTCAAATTCTTCTTGCAAGGAACTATTACAGAGCTTCGATTCAGAAATACATATTCCAAAAACAAAGAAAAATGAAAACACTCATTAGAGCTGACATAACTAACTAGAATGTCCATTCCAGGAAACACTACTACTAATACAAAGAAAGATTACACTAATAAAAAAAAAAAAAAGGAAAGGGTTGCAATAGCATTCATCATCAAGAAATGCAAGGATGTGCAACCACCAGTTTATCACAGAAACAGGCTGGTAAATTCCGATCCACCAGAATAAAGGGACCCCAAGCAGGTGAAACACATTACCAGGACTGCAGTGATTTAAAAGAAGGGGCCAGGCTTGCTAAGGGGGAAAAAAAATATAATTAAAAAAAAAACCACAGACCAGTATTTCTGTGCGGGCAGTATTTCTAACAGATTGATTTGACAATGCTGCTGAAGTGACTCAGGTCAGACCGTCCGACCTCAGCATCAGTGCAGCACTGCATATGTAATACACACATTCACAGCCTTTCCCGAGCCTCTTTGGAAGCAATGCTTTTATCTCCTACACTAATAAGCACTGATGATCAAGATTTTTACCCCAAACCTGACACTTGAATTCGCTACAGGTAGGCGAAACGTACAGAAACCTTGTCAGCTATGCTGACGAGGTGCACTCCCCGCACCTGCAAAAGGAGGAGAGAAAGAGAAGCAGCGGCACCCTCCCCACCCGTCCACCTTCTAATAAAAAAGCATGGAGGGGAGATAAAAACTAATTAATAAGCTCCGCGGTGCCCGAGTCCCGCAGCTGCGGCCGGAACCGCCTTAGCGCCGCCGCCTCGCCGGGCTCCTGTCAGCACCGGGAGGGCGGGAACAGCCTTCTCCCCCCACCGCCTCCTCGGCCAGCCCCCAGGGCCGAGATAAAATAAATAGAAACTCTGGAAAAAAGTATCATGCTCCGGCGAGGGCCAAGTGGACTGCCTCGACTCGACACCCTGTGCCCAAGCCCGCTGCGCCTTGAGGGGCTCGGCGGGGAAGATGGCCACCGCGCCCCCACCCCCGCCAACCCCCTCCCCTCCCTTAAGGTGCGGGCAGAGCCCGGCTTTCCCGAGGGCGGGCTGGCTTCGCCTCCTCCCCACGGGAACACTCACCATCGTGGCGGACGGCTCTGGCTTCCACCTCAGCCGGCAACCAGCCGAGATCGCCGGGCTCCAGCATCCCCCGCCGCTCCTGAGGTGCGCTGAGGAGGGGGGGCAGGCGGGCCTCTCCCCTCACCGGCCGCCGCCTGCTCCTTCCCGCTGCCACTCTTCCTCCCCCCGCCATCACAGGGGCTTTCACGAATTCTCCGGTGGCTTGTGAGCTCCAGGAGATGGAGGAGAGTCCCGGCAGCGGCCATCGGGCGGTTTCTCCCAGGTTCTGTCAGCTCTCGGGTAAACGTTAGGTGGAGCCCCGTCCCTTCCCCTCAGCCAGGGAGGGAAGGCGGGGGGGGGGGGAATGTTACCGCTGCTGAGGAGGAGGTTTTTACCTCACGGGATGTTTAATTTCAGGTTTGATGGCTTGCTTTGAACAGGTAGTCAGGCTGGGTGCCACAACCCTTCATTAGCGACTCTTTAAAAAAAGCGGTTAAATGACTGATGGGCGCCCTGTCGGGACGCTGAGGTGGCGTCGCCTCCCTTTAAAAAAAAAACAACTTTCTGTCGGGGTAAGGAGTTGAAGCAGAAAGAGCACTTCGCGTTTCTAATGCAGACTTTCACCCCAAAACACCTTTTAGAAATCCGCCTTTTACTAATTAAGCTGTCAAGCGCAGAGTGAGCACGTGGATGGCTTCTCTGGAAGCAACAACTTCTGGGATCAAACCAAAGGAAAATGTGTACAGTAGTACTTCCTAAGGACTGGAGATCAGAAAAGGATGTCAAACCAAACTATTAGAGCAAGCATGTTGTTATATATAAAGTGCTATAGGTGGAATAAATGGCCCTACTGGCCATACAGAATTAACGGCCCCTGTCAGGAGCCCCTTCCAGCCTCAGGTGTGGAAAAACACTGTCCTGTTTCTTCCAACAAAGCTTCTGCCCAAGGAGAACTTGCAGGATTTTATTCAATTAGGTAAAGTTTAATGCAATCGGATGCATTTAATTTTACCGCAAACCGGCAGATAAAACTTTCTAAGACTCAAAGTTTGGAAAGCAGGCATTCTTTATTGCGGCGCTCCTCCTGTTGTGCACACTGAATACTGCTGTCAAATTAAATTTATACACAACAGGTATACATATTCAATATAATTCCAAGAAAACATTAGCATATTCATTCAATTTCTGGGAATTCATTTACATATTATAATAAGCTTTTGGGCATGTGTAATTGTGCCTTCTGGTAGTCCTTTTGAGTAAGGGTTGTTTCTTCCTCAAACTTAATCTTCTTCACCTGGCCTTTGGCTCACTTTTCATGTTGGCAAAACATTCTAACTGCTTAATTGCTCATTGAAAGTAATGATTTCTCTGCTACCACCTGTTTGTCAGACAATGTCCATATTTATTGCATCCTTGTCTTAGGTCACCATGTTCTCAGGGCCACATACACCCTTTCTTAGTCTTACTAAGTCCTTGAAACCCTTTGGGATGGTTGCTAAAATAGCTACATTTGTTCTCTAAAAGAAGATTCTCTACAGTTTAACCATTTATAAACTACATAAAATCTGCCTTCAGTATCATTAAGATATTGAAATAGCAAGAGCAAGTACTCAGGAAGGAGCAGAAAGTGGGAACATGATTAGGTAATTCTGGCTTGCAGGTGGTTTTGTTTTTTTAGCAACTTCACGTTGAATTGGCTGTAAACTTAAGTGTTTGCTGTCTTGTCAGTGCCCATATTCGAAACAAGATAATTTATTTGACCATGCACACAGACAGTTTTAGGACTATTTCCCACTGCTGGTGGTCAGCCATGATCCTACAAATATAATTGAAATTAACTTTGTTTTTCCGTGTATTTTATTGCATTCCAATTTATGCCAATCTGTGCAGGAAAACAAACCTTATGAAACTGTTGGATAGTTTCCAAATTAACAGGCTCCCTAAAAACCCATGAACCCTCATGTTTACTGGCTTGTCATCTTTATGGGCATTTTATTCTTTACACAACCTCCTTTCCATTTAAAAATAATGACTTTTATGCAAAGTATCTCTCAGCTTGTACACTACCCACAAAAATCTTCTTACAGGTGCTAACCAGTCCTTTTCCAACATGTTTTTTTACTCAGAGCAGAGCCGCCTTTTGTACTTCTAGAGCAATTACTGTCCTTATTCTCTCCTCCACAGCATTGCCTTCAGCCATGGATATTGAGAATGTTGTACGAAACCCATTCTGGTTGAAACTTCACAGAAACAAACCAATAGAGTCAAGTAAATTGTGCCTGAATAATAAAAGTTGAGTATATAGAAATAGCTCAGCCCAAGGGCTGTGTTCTGTTCGGCACACAGTTTAAGGACATAAGTGAAATCAAAGTGATATATTATTTTTGTATCTGCTTTCTGTGCTGACTTGATTTTTTTTCATATGCTGCGAGACAGCCTAGGAGAATCTAAAATGATTTCTGGTCAGTGATTAATTGTTCTGTGTTTACAGCAGTGTAAGGAAAAGTAGGCAGCAGAAAATTTTGGAGGATTGAAAAACTTTGGAAAGAGTAAAAGTGTAGGCTTTGTGAAAAGGTCCAAACTGTACCAATTATTGCTTTACTGTTGCATCGAGGGTACAAAAAACCAGAGTCCTCATTCAGTAAAATGTGTTGGAACGGGAAAAAGATTGCTTTGCTAGATAAAACCTGTGTGCAGGAGAAGCTGTGATGGCTGTAACTGGTCCCATTGTCTATACAAATTAATTTTGATAACATTAAGTGGTTTAGAGGATGGGTGTTACCAAAGGTTATTCATACATGGACTTGTGTGGGCAGGCAGGACGTTCTCTGCTGTCATCCAGGTTAGCCATGCAGAAGGCAGCTCTGACCTGAAAGCCAGATAACCTGTTTGGTCTGGTTTTGGAGCTAATAATGTCTGTCTTTTCTCATGGTGTGTGTCAACTTAGAGGTGGCACCGAATTATCTTTACTATATAGCTTCTATGCCGGTGTTGTTCACACCTGTCTAATCTAAATCTCCTCTCTTTTAGTTGTAAACCATTAAACTTTGTCCTACCACAACAGGCCCTAATCAAGAGTCCCTCCCCAGCTTTCCTGGAGCCCCTTGAGGGACTGGAAGGGGCTCTAAGGTCTCCCCAGAGCCTTCTCTTCTCCAGGCTGAACCCCCCCGACTCTCTCAGCCTTTCCTCACAGCAGAGGGGTCCCAGCCCTCCCAGCACCTTCGTGGCTTCCTCTGGACCCATTCCAGAAGGTCCATGTCCTTCTGCTCTTGGTGGCCCCAGAGCTGGAGGCAGCCCTGCAGGGGGGTCTCCCCAGAGCGGAGCAGAGGGGCAGAATCCCCCCCTGGCCCTGCTGGCCCCACTGCTGGGGATGCAGCCCAGGGTGTGGGGGGCTTTCTGGGCTGCCAGCGCATGTTGCCAGCTCCTGTTGAGCTTCTCATCCACCAACACCCCCAAGTCCTTCTCCTCAGGGCTGCTCTCCAGCCATTCTCTGCCCAGCCTGGATTTGTGCTTGTGGTTGCCTTGACCCAGGTGCAGGACCTTGCACTTGGCCTGGTTGAACTTCATGAGGTTTGCAGGGTCCCACCTCTCCATCCTGTCCAGGTCCCTCTGGATGGCATCCCTTCCCTCCAGCGTGTCAACTGCACCACACAGCTTGGTGTCCTCAGCAGACTTGCTGAGGGTTCACTCGATCCTGATGCCCGTGTCGCTGACAAAGATGTTTTATTTATCATTTGCGCTTGTGCTAACCTACCATTAACACCTCTGAAGATGGCATATTTATCCACGTTCTGGTAGATTAACTTTTTGGGTCTCATTTCTAGCCGTGATGCATGAGAAGGAAAAAATGCAACTTTATTGCTAAGCCACTCCACAAGAAAAATTTTTGCTGATACAAGATAACTGATGAGGCAACTGGTTCTTTTCAGCCGATGATGGGCATAATTTTTGGACCACTAGCAGGGACCAGTCCTGCAAATTTTTCATCAAGCAAGCTGCAGGCCATTTACCTCAAAATACTGCTGTGAATCTTCTGCTTGTCGATATTTCCATATGAATAAAAAGCCTGTGATGGATGTACTTATGGCAGCAAAGGGATATCTGACCAATACAGTTAGAAAATCTGTGAAACTTACTCCAGTAGACCTCGTACAGAGTAGAAAAAGTCCAAAATTTGTGTTGATTTTCAGGACTGTGGAATGAAAATCCTCTGAGTTGTAAGTTGAAGCTGCATGGTATAATAATTTTTGAAAGGCGATGAATAAATTCACTATAAACTTTTGGGATTTTCCAGGGCAGCACTGCTTTTAAAGCTGAAAGTTCTCTTAGTCTGTCACCATAGGTTTTTTTTAACTTTGTAACCTCTCAATTCAAGCAGCCTGTGGGTTTGAACGCTTGACTAAACTCAAATCCATCTTGAAATTCAGATAATCTAGGGTATGTAGTTATATATTAAGTGTGACTTAAACTTTTCTTCATAGGTTTTTCCTCAATGGCACACAATTCTTTTAAAACTATTAATGAGAAAGATGATGAGTTCTTTAGCTATTATTATTATTTTTTTAATATTAGGCATCGGCTACTCAAGCAATCTCTTCAGATTTTGCCTGCACTTCAGACATGCCTAGGTCCATCTCACAAAATATTAGGCATTTAAGAGAGATGTCTGCATTGGAGGCTTTACATAGCAATGAAGGGCGACAGGCACTTGGGGAAGGCATTTCAGCTTTTTGATCGCCTGTGATTTGTTGTGACTGAATGACGAGTAGAATATGCCACATGATGTTATTTCTCCTATTTCACTGAGTGGTTTGCAAAATATCCAGTGTTGATACTAACACATGAAAGCAGCACATATGATCTTCAAAAGTACTGTCTCTGTGTTGCCTTTATTCCTTTCTCCTTAAATCAGTGAGATCGCTCTTGTCATGGGTTTGAAATAGTTTGATCCAAAATGACTGGTTTTGAAAACCCAAGCTGTAAAAATGAGCATTTTGCAAGGACCAGTGTAAATTTAAAATGGAATGTGTGATCATTTGTGCTGGTGAAACACACTTGCTTGTCTACATACACCAAACAAGCAAGAAGGTAACTCGTTTAGAGTTGAGGGTTGGTCTCATAAATTAGGCAGCTGACTTTGGGAAATGAATGAAAGACATTGCTGAAAAATTATGTAAATTCTTTGCTATGAGGTCTGTGCTTGTGAATGAAATTTATAATGCCTCCCTACCTTATCCTAATTTGTTATTACAGTGCTTCTTATAATTAAATA